TAGGAAGTGGGGACCACATCATGCATCACTCTTTTGGGTCCTTTTTGAGCAGTTATTTTAATTGTTTTATGCTGTTTTATGTGTTAGCTGCCCTATAGTGAAGAGGGCGACTAGCATTATTGTTCTCTTTTCTCCCTCAAATCTCTTCTCTTCCTTTTCTCCTTTCTTCTCTTCTTCTTCTTCAAGAAATATTCTTTTCTTTTACAGATTTTATTATTTCAGCACCTTTCTACTTGGTATCAGAGCAAGGTTAGGGTTTCTTGAAGTTTTTTTCATGCAGTCCTAGATCAAAAGATTGCATGAGGAGATAAAGGGCTGATCGATCTACTTCATATTGTCTAGTTCTTGGATTTTTTGGTGTGATCTAGTCATCAGGAGGGTGATCTATGTTTTGGCATCAAAATTAGGAAGAACTGGAGTGCGGAGAGGAGTCCTAGTCAAGTTGGACTCTTCAATTTTGATCTGATCTTGGACACTCAGGTATTGTTGGACTTCTCTAGGTATTCTATAGGGGCGGTTAGGTTTCTGGAATTTTCTAGGCCTTCTGGAGTGGCTGATTCACTTTTTTCTCTAGTGGGAAACTGGGGTACGTTATTGGGGAGGAGAAGAAACCTGATACAGATCCCTCCCGGTGGGTACTAGAGAATTACATGGTGATGACCTGGCTGTGTAACTCTATGTTACCTCACATTGGTAAAAATTTTTTGTGGGTTAATACTGCAAAGGAGATTTGGGATGGAGTGACTAAAACCTATTCCTAGAAATAGAATGTTGCTAGAGCCTATCAATTAAGGAATCAGGTGATTAGTACAAAATAGGGAGATAGACCTCTTGCCACCTATTTCTCCATGCTGAAAACTCTTTGTCAGGAGATTGACCACTTAGAAACTGTGGTTTGGGAGAGTATGAAGGACGCATCAACCTGTCAGGGGTTGGTAGAAAAGAATAGGGTTTTGAGTTCTTGGCTGGGTTGAACCCTGAATTCAACATTGCCAGGCAACATCTCTTTTCTAGAGAAAGTTTGACTCTTTCTCATGCTTATGCCTTTGTCTCTAGGGAGGAGAGTAGGAGGAATGTCATGTTGAGACAGCCTGGGATTGATCAGTTAGCTATGGTTAGTACAGTTAAATCTAAGCCAAATGGAGACAGGGGGAATAGTGAGGTTAGGAAGGAGGACAAGAAGGATTTGGTGTGTGACTATTGCAAGAAGACTAAGAATACCAGTGACACCTGTTGAAAGCTTTACCCTCATCTTGTAACAGCTCGGATCAAGAACAAGAAGGGAAATGCAAATGTGGCAATTACAGGAGACCCTTTAGGATCCCCTCCCAGGCTGATCTGGAGTCCATTGCAGCAGCAACAGTGTGGATTGAATTGGAAAAGTATGGACAACTTATGAGTAAGAAGGATTCAGCCAATTCTAGTTCTTCAGATGGGCAGAACAGTGCAAGAGCCAACCATATTACTTCCTTTGCTCATATGGGTTGTTTATATGCAGTTGCAAATCATGTATCCACCTCAGGTAAGGAGGGACCTCCCTGGATTATAGACTTAGGAGCATTTGAGCACATGACCAATATATCTACCTTCTTTAGTTTTTACTATTTGTGCTCTGGTAGAGATAAGAGTCTCGACAGCAGATGGTTCCCATGTTCCCATTGCTGGGAAAGGGATAGTTAGATTGACTAATGACATTACTTTATCCTCTGTCTTACATGTCCCTAAACTCAACACTAATCTTCTTTTAGTAAGCTCTCTGATAAAAAATTTGAACTACTTAGTGACCTTTCTTCCTGGTAATTGTGTTTTGCAAGATCTAGAATCAAAGAGGATGATTGGGAGTGGTCGTTAGGTGAATGGAGTCTACCTTCTAGATGAGATTCCGAGGCATCAGAGCCATCATGTTAATAGCGGCAGTAGTAGTGGACCAGAGTCAATGAGTCAGATTATGCTCTGGCATAATCGTTTGGGTCATCTTTCTTTCATTTCAATGAGGTTTATGTTTCCAAAGTTGTTTAAGTCTGTTCAGTTGTCTAGTTTGGAATGTGAAAGTTGTTAGTTGGGAAAGGATTGTAGACATTCTTTTATACCAAGTAATAAAAGAAGTGCCTTTGCTTTTGATATTGCTTTTTCCAAACGGAGAGATATTTCATATACCTTTGAGAGTTTTTGGGTGTGTCTCCTTTGTTCACATTCTTGGTCCTCATCACAAGAAATTGGATCCTAAAGCCAAGAAATGTGTTTTCCTCGGGTATGCTCAAAATCAAAAGGGGTATTGTTGTTATGATCTAGTGTCGAGGAGCAGGTTTGTTACTATGGACGTTACCTTTTTTGAATTTACTTTCTTTATATTGAGTGGTTCTCCTTAGGGGGAGTGTTTTGGTGAGGAGAACTCACAACCTGTCCCTCTTCCGGTGTCACTTGTTCCTTCATCTAATCCACCTATTCCACCATCAGCAAGTACAATCCCACTGCCTGATCCACTACGGCCAGTCTCGCAGGTCTATCAACGCCACTAGAAGAGAGTTGACTCCACACATGCTCACATAGAAGAACCTGCACCACTCTCCATTAGTCCATCTGAGATCCCAGGTTTAGCTGATACAGTCTCAGGTTTGGCTAACTCCACACATCCCCTGATAATGATGTTTCTACACCTAATACTATTGTGGCAATTGATCCCTCTGATCTTGATCTTCCCATTGCACTCTGCAAAGGGAAGAGAAAGTGTACAACCCATTGCATTTCACACCATCTCTCCTACAGTGCCTTATCACCCTCTTATTGTGCTTTCCTTTCTTCCTTGGATTTTGTGTCTATACCCAGGAATGTCAGTGAGGCTTTCTCAAAACCTGACTGGAAACTAGCTATGCAAGAAGAAATGGAAGCCTTGGTTAAAAATCATACATGGAAAATAGTTGATCTTCCTACAGACAAAGAGACAGTCGGGTGTAGTGGGTGTTCACTGTGAAGTACAAGGCTGATGGCAACATAGAGAGGTACAAGGCAAGGTTGGTTGCAAAAGGGTATACACAGACCTATGGTATTGATTACCTGGAGACTTTTGCACCAGTTGCTAAGATGAGCTCAGTTTGGATTCTCTTGTCCCTAGCAGCTACCTATTCATGGCCTCTATTCCAACTTGATGTTAAAAATGCTTTCCATAATGGTGATCTGCAAGAGGATATATATATATATATATATATGGACATTCCAGCTGGTTTTTATGAGAATGTTGGTAAGGGAAAAGTTTGCAGGCTAACTATATGGCTTGAAACAATCACCTAGGGCATGGTTTGACAGGTTTAGAGGAGCACTTACCCGTTTTGGGTACACACAGACTCAATCTGACCATACTCTCTTCGTAAAAAGGAGAGATGCACACTTGTTAGTATTGATTGTATATGTAGATGATATAGTTGTTACAAGAAATGATCTGAAGGAGATTGATGAACTCAAGAAGCCGCTACAACAAGAGTTTGTGATCAAGGATCTAGGTGGATTGAAATACTTTCTGGGGATTGAGGTTGCAAGATCCAAGTATGGGATTTTCATCTCTCAGAGGAAGTATGTATTGGACTTAACTACAGGAGACTAGGAAGCTAGGAACTAAACCAATTGATACTCCTATTGACCCAAATCATAGATGTTTGCTGGAAAACAACAGCCGAAGAAGAAGAAGAAGAAGAGAAGAAGATTTGAGAATGGCGGCTTACTCACTTCAGCCGGCCCTACAATCTTATATAGATGTTTACAAAGTAATGTTGCATGAATGGACTGGAATGCCCCTGATTAGTGATGGGACACCTAGACAAATATAAAATTAAACAAGTTTAGGCCCAATAACTAAGAACTTAAGACACAAATATGACTAACATAAACACTAAACCAGCCGAACCAACAATAGAATTAATGCTTTGGATGGTGAGTTGGTTAAGGATGTCGGAAGATATCAGAGGATGGTAGGGTGACTACTATATTTATGTATGACACGTCTAAACCTCTCCTATGTTGTTAGTGTTGTGAGTCAGTATATGCATGCTCCTCGGATTCAGCACTGGGAAGTCATTGAGAGGATACTTGCATACCTGAAGAAGCACCCTGGCAGAGGGATTATTTTCTTAGACCATGAAAATTTAAAGCTGGAGTCCTACACAGATACAAATTGGACAGGCTGCTTAGATGACAGGAGATCTACATCAGGGGTATGCACCTTTGTGGGAGGAAACTTGGTCTCATGGAAGAGTAAAAAACAGTCAGTTATGGCTAGATCAAGTGCAGAGGCTGAATATAGGTCTATGGCTCATGGTGTTTCAGAACTACTTTAGGTGAGATCTCTATTGAATGAGATTGGAATAAAAGCTAAGGAGCCCATGATGTTATATTGTGACAACTAAGCTGCAATTCATATTGCCCACAATCCAATTCAGCATGATGGGACTAAACACATTGAGGTTGATAAGCACTTAATAAGAGAAAGGGTGACAACTGGAGAAGTTTGCTTGCCTTATGTCTCCTCTGAAATACAATTGGCCGATGTCTTCACCAAAGGGGTTGCAAAGAATAAACTTGAATACAATCTATGCAAGTTGGGAATGTGTGACATTTACTCCCAACTTGAGGGGGAGTGTTGAGGTTTTAGACAAATCGTGTAGTCTATAGTGGTAGTTTTTGATTATTTATTGTTTAGATAGGAAGTGGGGACCACATCACTCTTGTTGGATCCTTTTTGAGCGGTTATTTTAATTGTTTTATGTGTTAGCTGCCCTATAAGGGCATATTTGTCTTTGTACTCTTTATTATTTCCAGACTATAAATAATAGTGAAGAGGGCGGCCAGCATTATTGCTCTCTTTTCTCCATCAAATCTCTTATCTTCCTTTTCTCCTTTCTTCTCTTCTTCTTCAAGAAATATTCTTTTCTTTTACAGATTTTTTATTTCAGCACCTTTCTACTCTTGGGAAGACTGAATACTTAATTTATTTACTTCTGTCTTAGCAGAAGTCTTCGGAATTGCAGTTTGAAAGGGGCTGTTCCAGATCTCAGCAGTGTACCACACCTTCATTATTTGTAAGTTGCTTTAGTATCACAAAACTTTTTTGGGGCTAGTATCAATTTTCAGAGACTGAAGCAGCTTTTATATTTTTAATGTAATTTAGAATTTCTATTCTGTCCTATGCTGATGAATATGCTGACTTTCTAATGGGCTTTATGTTACAGAGATCTTAGCTGGAACGAGCTTACTGGATCAATACCATCAAATAAGTTCTCCAATAATGTCACCAATATGTATGTAAACTTAAAAATGCTGACTTAATGCAGCTCTAACTGAAAATATCCTTGTTGGGTTGGTCAAGGATCATGACCAATATCTTCTTAAAATTTCATTCATGCTTCATATGATTGGTCAACTTGATAAAAAAAATCCATTCTATCAATAATTGTCTTTTGCAGTTATCTGTCTCACAATCGTCTTAATGGGTCTATCCCTGAAAATTTTTCCAATCTTCCTCAGCTCCAAAGATTGTAAGAACCTGCCCACATTTTAGTCCCATTTCTCTAATCCCTATTTTCTCTCTATTTATGGAATTCTACTTCTAATTTCACCAAATGAGAATATATAGTCATTTTTTCACTACAGGTCACTTGAGAACAATTTTTTGAGTGGGTCTGTTCCTTCTACCATGTGGCAGAATATGACCTTCAGTGCAACTGCAAAACTTACACTGTAAGACCTCAAGGCAGAAGAATATTTCCGTATGATTTGTTATTGCATTTTTTCCCAAGTTTATATTAAGAATCCTGAGTGGGTTATATTTTCTGGTTTCCTTTACATTTGAGATAAATAACTTGACTTTTCTGGTTTCCTTGCATATGTTAATTGATTTCTATTCTAAGTTGACAAGTCTTTCGATCTTCATTTTGTTTTTGCTCTATGCCTTTGGATCTACAGGGATCTGAGAAATAATTCACTATCAAACATTTTGGGCGATCTTAATCCTCCTAAAAATGTCAGCCTAAGGTACTTTTCTCTTCATCTACCTCAATTTGCAGGTATTGTTGATTCTTGCATATTCATTTGCTTTTTTCTACGTAAAAATAAATTTGAATCAATCATGCAGCAAATTTATAGGAAGATTCACATTCCTTACAGTTAACAGTACTGCAAATTATGCAAGCAGAGTGCCTCCCTCATGAACTGATATTTAATGAGGACCATGCTCATGCACATTTTGAGTAGCCAATGTGAAGGCTCCATCTCATTGATTGGCTTATCATGAGGTCTTTAGACTGTCACACATCTAGTGCTTATTAAGCAGCCCCACAACAATCCTTGATAGATAATGACTCATCTTCCTCCTAGAGAGAAATGACTCATCTTCATAGTCATTTGACCTCATGATGAACAATATGATCAGTAGAGAACTTCCCATCTACCTGGTGGACCTCGTCCACCATTACTTCAACATCCTTGTTTTTCCATCTCTGTTGATTCTCTTCCCTTCAGTTTTTTATCAGTAAAGCCACCCTCTACCTCAACAGCCTCATCCTCTTCTTGTCTAGAGGGAGGAAAAGTTTGGTATTTGCATACTGAAATACCAAGAACTTTGTAATCTGAAGAGCTATACTCGAAGTAGCAAGGAGGAGAAGAGAACCACAGAACTGAAGAGAATGTTGATCTGTACTAGGCAGTCGACCAGTCTTTTATTTATAGATGAATATAGTACAAGGTACAAGAAATTACTGGGATGCCCTTGATTAGTGATGGGACACCCAGATGACTTAAATCATTAAACAGGATTAGGCCCATTAACATAGGCCCAGTTACAAGATAAGTTAAACATAAGACTGGGCTAATAAGAACT